GTGGTGAGTATAAAAATTATCTTCTTAGCTAAAAAATAAAAATAGTAGAAAAGACAAGGGCCCAATGGATTTTCTGTACAACCACCCTTCCCATGTTTTTTTTTTTTGTGGAGATTGACGACAAGGTTTTTAACATATTTGGCGCATACTTAGAATAAAACAACAACAACAAAAGATTACTCTCGATCTGCTCTGATATCGATGCCTGTGCAAAATCTCAAAACTAATTAAAAAGCCAGATCGACTCCAAATGTCCTGAAACGGATTTCGTCTCGCGATATACTTAAGATCCAAAGCAGTTTTCCGACGTGGTATATTTTGGTCATATCCTATCCTATCATAGGGTATATATTACCCTCTGTAGTCATGAGGCGGATGGTATAAACCGATGGTTTATCAAAACAGTGATGGCATATTTGTTCGGGATACCGTAGTACTTTGTTGTTGCAAAATAGTCAGGCTTAATACCATTATTGTTGTTTTATAAAAGCAAAGTTTGTTTATTAATGGAAAAATATGGTAATATTTACCAGGGGGTAAGGGAGAGAATACCTAGGTTTCGGAAAGAGCCATCAATCCTTCTCAGTTAAATGCACTAGATATTTCTGCGAGAATACAGTCAAGATAGAGACATGTCGGTTCTTAAACGGCGTTTTGGGTCCTCAAAGTACTCAGAATTTTCCGACATGTTTGACACATGTTGACATGAACGTTTTGAAATTGACTTTCAAATTTATATTGAGAATATATATATATTTTAAAATTTCAATTATTCCGAGGTGTTGCTAATGGAATAGCAAAAATTATATGACCCCAACTCATGTGTCCGGGGTCCCATTTGTAGCAGAAAGTATTGGGAAAACTTTTTTTTTTTTTATTTTTTTTTTTAATATTTTTTACCGAGAGAAACACTCTTAGCTGTGTTTCTGCAAAAAGATAACTCCACTTCTCCATGGAGAAAGCTATGGAAATGTAATATAAATGTTTTAATATAAAACTAGCACATTATGTGAGTATCAGCTAACAATTTACTATATACTATACTTTACTATTTCCTTTAAATTTAAAAAAAAAAATCGTAAAACCCATTTTCCCCTCTCAAATTTATCTGTCTTGTTACTGCGGCATAGGGCTTTGGTATTTACAACCATTTTTCCAATACGAATGTTCTTTTATTTGTCATGTTTTTTTCATTTCAAACCACCATTTACACCAACATCAAACGGAAACAATATCAGTTGTTAGCCAAAAGAAGATGCAAAGGATGTACCCGTTGCGATTGTGGGCCCAGACCAAATACAGGGATCAACTCATTGTTTACTGTAAATGTTGGTGGATATTTTGTCGTCTGTGTATTCAAACACTTTCTCTCTATATATTCAGGAAAATGCGGGCTATGCCATGCTGCAGTTACAACATTCAACTGCTGGAATACAGGAAACAACCATGAGCCTGTGCATACATGTTGGGGTTCACCACAACGAAGAAAACAAAAATGGCACATCGCTCGCACCACCCAGACAATATAAATTCCACATGAATAAGTTCTCCTAGAGGAGTGTGTCTACGAATAGTGTGTTTTTTTCGTATCGTATTCTAGACAGTCATGGTCCTTTGTTTATTTGTTGGCTGAGACTCGGTTGTAAAATACGTAATGTATTGTTGGATTGGATTGAAAGATATAGCTTAAAGCTTTATGTTATATGACACTCTAGTGTTACACAGGGATGGAGGGTAATAATTTATATTTTTTATGTAAAATACTTTTACATTTACATTTTATATTAGATCCAATATCTGGGTATAAAGATATGAAATGTTTTCCAAATTTCCCAAGTTTCTTAAACAATCAAAGAAGACCCCAACTATTTTTTTGAAATTAACTTTTATTGCGAGTTAAGGCTGGTGAATCTGTGGAAATCAAGTTTCCACTCTATTTTATGCAAAGTTTACGCCAAACTATTTCTAATATTTTGGATATTTGGCGTCTCGATTTACTATTTTTCTTTAATTCGAAATTTCACGCACTCAATAACTCGAATCTCTTCTGCTTAAAATCTTAATTTGTTATAGGTACAATTTAACGGCATTTTAAAGGATTCAGATGCATTCTCCAAATGATCTGCAATGTTTCAGAGAATATAAAGCCTTCTGCAGAATTTTTTTTCGCTAGACGATGCAGCTCTCATGTGGCGAAGTCTCTGATTTTCGAAATGCAATGTCAACATTTTTAGCCGAATTCGTTATAAATTAGTTTTTTGGGTACTCCTTGATTAAGTTTGGTTGGGTCGAACTATGAATACCCTCCACCATTTTCAAAAAATTAAAACACGAAAACGTTTACCTGTATGGGCAACTTTTGTCAAAGGCCATTACAATATTCAGATACGAAACTTGAAAAAAAACCCGGCCAAAATCATCAAATTACCGAATATAGGAAGGTACTGATATATGGGGGCTATACGAAGACCTGAACCTGCATGCACAATTTTCTGTCACAGGCTGTACTACTTATTAGGAACTTCAAATACGAACTTTCAAACAATTTCGGTGAAAACAGGCTGTAGTGCCTATTAGGAACTTCGAATACAAACTTTCAAACAATGTCGGCGAATATTTTACCTAAAATCGTCAAAATACCGAATATGCGGAAGTACCGGTCTATACGAAGGCCTGAACCTGCATAGACAATTTTATGTCATCGACTGTAGTTAACATTACGAACTTAAAATACCAAATTTGAAACAATTCCGGTGAATAATGTCCATAAAATTATCAAAATACCGAATATAGGGGGGCCGTTGTATGGGGGCTACACCATATTGTAGACCTATATGGACAATTCTATTTCAGGGGGTAAAGTGCTTAGAAATAACTTCTTGTGTGGATTTTCAGACAATTCTATTGTTGTATGTGCTAAAATCATTAAAATACCAAATGTCGGGAGTACGGTTATATAGGGGCTATATGATATCGTGGACCGATATAGAACATCTTCGAACTCGACCTGCCTGCAGACAAAAGACTGATCTTTGGAAAAATTTAACTTCCTATCTTTTTTTTCGTTTTCACTGCAGCGTTATTACAAGATATGGACGGACGGTCAGGGCTGAATTGACTAAGAATTTTACGCTGATCAAGAATACACAGGGTGAGATGAAAGAATTGCAACCAACTTCAGAGTGCTGTCATATCTAAGCCACTCGTCCAGCAGCTGCTAAAATTGTTCCAGTGACAAGCGTACAAAAGTATTTCGGTGAGAATTTTCTTGAAAAAAAGGTATTTGTGATGGAATTCAAGCATGATAGCGTGATTTCTTTATATTTGGCTTGAAAACCACAAGTGGTTATCGCTAGAGCACGTTAACGAAGCGATTTGATCGAATTCTGGTCGCAGTGGCCGAAAAATGGCTCCTGAGCTAAACATATCGTAATATTCCATTCGACAAATATTGAAAAAATGAGCTCGGGGTAAAGCCATTGAAATTCCAAACAGTGCAAGAACTTACACCGCGACAGAAAGAAAATAGACTCAAAAGAGCTAAAGATTTGCTTAGCTTGGCCGAAAGTGGAGAACTGCCCAATTTGGTTTTCTCCAATGAGAAAACATTTGTTGTCCAGCAGTTTATAAACAAACAAAATGATCGTGTTTACTTGCCAAAGAGGTCAGCAGAAAATGTGCACCTTCGGTTGGCCACCAGAACTCAAGCGCCGGTCATGGTGTGGGCCGCCATAACAGCCGATGGTCGCTCTCCGCTCTTATTAATCGACCGTGGCATCAGAATCAATACCGAATATTATCGCGAAAATATTCTGGAGGGTGTATTAAAGCCTTGGGCACCAAAACATTTTGGCCGCAGACCTTGGACATTCCAACAGAACTCAGCACGCGCCACCCAAGAATTGTTACAAAATGAGGTTCCTCGCTTCATTTCCAGCACACAATGGCCACAAAAATCTCCGGATCCAATCCGTTGGTCTTTAGTATTTTGGAAAGCAAAGTTGGCACTAAAAAATACCAAAGTGTCGATCACCTCAAGCAAGCGGCCCAAAATACCGCAGAGCAACATTCGGGCAGCGTGTGATGGTTTCATTGGCCATTTGAAGGCTATAGTTCGTGCCAAAGGTGACCAATTCTAACAAATCGAAACTTATTCTTAAATTTGATGCTATTTCCGACATTTTTTTCTTTCATTCAATAAAATTAAAAAAAAAAAAAATACAAAATATGGAGTTTGACTGTGTTGCATTTTTTTTTATCAGGTGTGTATTTAAAACAATTAAAAGCATTTAAATCAATTCCCGATAGTTATTTATGGAATTTCTGAGAATATTTGTAATTTGTATATTTTACCCATACTATAGCCCTCCTAAACTTCCAAAGTTCTTATTTGTATGACTCTGGATGAATATTTTGACCTTTGGATCATTATGTAACATTTGGAGCATTTTAAAGTAATCGAGTAATATCTACATACCATCCCTGGCATTTGAATAAGAAAATCCAATTGTTGTGCCCATGCAACTGCACAATATTTGCCAGACAATATTTAATCCCAATACATACGGTTTTAGTATTACCCAAAGCCCTAAAGTATGCAATGGAAATAACAAAAAAAAAACATTAAGAAACAAACAACAAAAAAAACTAGCTTGTTTGTTGTCCCTCCATAAATTATTTCCACTATTGTTGTTGTTAATTAAAAATTTCCGTGTTTGATGGGAAAAAGAACACAAAAAATATATTTCCCCTAGTTAATCATGTCTAGTTAACATTGTCTGGAATTAAGTTTCACATAATTGTGATTTTATCAAATTCTGATTTTAATTGTAAAAGTCATGCAACGCATGTGAGTAACAAGTTCATATTTTAGTTTTCACATCATTTGTTTTTTTTTTTTTTTTTTTTTTTTTGAAAATTGATTATAAATTTGAATTTGACATTTTAAACACTGCCAACAATTAAATTTTGTTACTTCTTTCTGTTCTTTCTCTTTACAGTTTGGTCATTGTGCCGATTTAGAAATAAGCATACCCAACAATCAGGGTATAGACGGTGCCTTTTACCGTCTAGACTATAGTCCGCCATATGGTTATCCCGAACCAAATACCACAATCGCCTCCAATGAAATCGGCGATGAAATACAATTTTCGCGTGCTTTACCCGGTACCAAATACACGTTCTCGTTATACTACACCAATGGTACACATCGTGATTGGCCAACATGGACGGTGTCTATAACTACAGGTAAGTCGAGAGTGTGTGTGTTATTGGCATAATTACAGGTTGTGTGGCAGTGACAGTTTTTTTGCTTTGTTTCCTTTGCTAATGACTTTAAATGTTTGCCGACACACAACTGTCATTTGCGCCGTTTTTAAAATCACAGGATATCAATTGAATTAAATTTACTTTTCATAATTATTTATTGAAGTTTAATTGTATGTTGTAATCTACTATATAATGGAAAATTGAAATGATTTTTAAATACATGTAAGTGTATTTTATTGATGTGTCATAATCTACATGATTTTTCCATTTTCATTTAGTATTGTTTATTTCAATGAAAGCGATTATTTTTCAAATAGGAGGGTGGTATTTGTAAAATTTGAAAATTTAATGTGTAGCAACAGCCTATGACTGTAGATATAAATGTAATTCGGAAAACCATTCTGAAAATTACTAAGGCGGACCATACAGCATGTTAGTCATATGTAGAGCTACTTCTTCAAGTCATATTTTGCATTTTTATAGCATGCTTTTAGGCGCTCCCAACAAATTTTAAACTAAAACCAGTAAAAAAAACAAGTAAAACAACATTAAGTTCGGCCGGAGCAAACTTTTTATATCCTCCACCTTAGGGTAAAGGAAACATTAGAAGAAATGTGGCAAAAACCATTAAAATGCCGAATATCGGGAGGTACCGTTATATGGGGGCTATAGCAAATCGTGGACCTACACATGACCATTATGACCAACTAATACCAATTTTTAGACAAATCCGTGAAAAAAATGTGGCAAAAAAATTAAAATACCGAATATCGGGAGGTACCTTTATATGTAGGCTATACCAAAACGTGGAACTGGGTATTATTTATCAATGGGTATTATTTATCAAAATCCCCCAATTTGAGCTGTTATTACAATTTTTAGGCACAATAAATGTGAAATCGGCTGATCATATATATGGGAGCTATATTAAAATCTGAATCGATCTCTATAAAATTTAGCAGAGATATTTCTATGTTGTAGCTGATAGTTGGCACCAAATATAGCTGTTGTGGAGAGAATTTTACAGGTGTGAGGGAGTTAAATACAAAATCTGATGAAACATATATATGGCACCGATAGCTATATCTTAACCGATTTTCACCAAATTTTGTACACTTTTTTCCAGGCTAAATTCGTTTGCATGTTCCAAAATCCGTCCAATTCGGGTTTATATTAACCATTTGGTAAAAAATAAACTTGAAATCGTATAAAGATATATATGGGAGCTATATCCAAATCTGAACTGATCTCGATAAAATTTAGCAAAAGCATTTCTGCAATGTATTTAATATATTTCTCCGAGTATCGTTGTTACGGAGTGCATATTACGGCAATGGAGGAGTAATCTAACAAATCGGATTATGAATATGTATGGGAGCTATAGCTATAACTGCCAATTTTCGCAGCATATATGAAAAAAGATTGGCATTAAAATACGTTATATGGGTCCTGCCCCGATTTTTAGTACTTTAAAGATCTAATCAGCAATTTTCGTTTCGGATTCTCTGCTGGTGAAACTCTCCTTGCAAAAAAACGCTTTGTTAACTTTAAGGCTTCAAACATTTAACATTTTAACAGCTCAGCTGCACTTTGACATTTTGGGTTTGAAAAGGATAAATTTCTCCTCGGAAAAAATCTTCCCGTAGGTCCAATTGTTAGTTTCAGGTTCTTAGAGTACATAAAGCCTTCTTGAAGAAAATGCCCCAAAAAGGTACACTGATATAATTCTCATTTTCAAAACCACAAAAAATGATTTAATTTAGGTTTAGGTTTTGTGAATGGCAGATTCTTGCTAATGGAAATTTTTATCGTATGGCCCTCATATGACGGTACACCCCGATATTCGGTTTTTTTATTTTAGGCACATTTTTCAATGGAATTATCCGAAGTTCTACACAAGGAGTTCTTTGTGGGTACTTTACCACCTGTTACAGAATTGTCTATAAAGGTACACGATATCGTATATCCCCCATAAAACGGTACCTCCCGATATTCGGTATTTTGATGATTAAATCCATTATTTTCAATGGAATTGTCATTGTCATTCACGCAAGAAGTTCCTTCTGAGTATTTTACACCTGAAAGAGATTCGTCCATAAAGGTCCACGATATCGTATATGTCCCATATAACGGTACCTCCCGATATTCGGTTGATGATTTATTTACTGAATTGTAAGAAAATCCACCCAAGAGGTTCCTTTCGAGAACTTTACTCCCTGGAAAAGAATTGTTTATATAGGTCCCCGATATCGTATATCCCCCATATAACGGTTCCTCCCGATATTGGGTATTTTGATGATTTTAGCCACATTTCAATAAATTGCCTGAAAATCCATACAAGGAGTTCCTTCTGAGTATATAGCCCCCATATAACGGTATCCCCGATATTCAGTATTTCGACATTTAGCGACACTTTTGACCCGATTGTTTTCAAATTTCCTATTTATTGAGTAATAAGTACTACAACCTAATGATTACTACAACCTATTCCATAAATTTGTCTATGCAGATCCACGTCTTCGTATAGCCCTCATATAACTGTACCTCCCTTTATCAAGTATTTTGATGACATTAGCAACCTTATTAACCGGAATTGTTTAAAATATGATGATATTAGCGAATCGATACTGCAGCCTATGACAAAAAATTACTTATGCAGGTCCATGTCTTCGTGTATCCCCCATATAACGGTTTTCATTTAAATGGTATTTTTCGTGGTATTCAAATTATTCAAGATCCTTCAAAATGGCTTAGTGTATTAAAAGTTCATCCCGGCCGAACTTAACTGTTTTTTTTTACTCGTTAAGAGTTTGAAGCTAGCTAATTTAACGGAAATTCCACATTAAAGCTCTGCAATGTAAACGAATTGTCTATAATTTCAATACCCCATTGTAGAGGGTATAAAAACCCAGCCCGAATGAACTTAATATCATTTGTACTTATTTTTAGAAATGTTGTCCCTTTTTGAGGTATATTTCAAGATGTTATATTTATATCCTACAACACTATTTGTTAAGGGTATTATAAGTTTGATTGGGCCAAAAATTATGTAACACCTCGAAATATTGGTTTCCCACATAGGAAAGTATATATGGATCTTCCTATCTCGCCGAGCTGAGTCGATCTAGCTATGTATGTCCGTCCGTCCGTCTGTCCATGTTAATTTGCAATCACTCTACAGGTTGTGATATATCGGTTAATATATCGGCTATATATAGCGAAATATATATAAATATTTTACAAAGATCCCACACAATTCTAGCCTATTGCTGTTTTATTCCTTATTTTATTTAATTTCCCATTCATCTCTGGATTTCGTAATTATCTCTTACAATCCTTGTTATGAATCTCTCCGTTTCTTTAAGTTTCTAGTGCTTACCTACAAATTCGAAACTTATGCAATGTTGCCAAAAAAGAAATAGAAACCAAACTTTTTTTTTCATTTTCATATTGTTGACCTTTAATGTCTTAACAAGACCAAAGTAGCACACAGCTGGTTAACACGAAAACGTTTTAATGAAGCTTGTGAAATTCTCGTGAAACAAGAAACTTTCTTCATTTCAGGCAATGCTTGCATTGTGATGAAAATGTATTCTGTTTTTTTTTTTCGATGCTTTACTTGGCAACTTTATCATGGCTAACATTGTTGTCGTTGTTGGCCTTGCCTCATTCTGCAATGGCTAGCTACCAACATAAAATTTTCTCTGTTCTCGGGGTATAATTAAATTTCCCCCTATTTCACAACAACAGGTCACAAAACATTGTGCCAACATACAGCCATTGGGGGGTATAGTTATGTCTTGGATTACCCCACCTAAATGTCGGATGTACCAGCTAAACCAAAGTATCATCTTTCACCTTTTTCACTTTGCATTTTGTTTTTTTTTTTTTTGGGGGGTATTATTAAAAATAATGAAATTAAAAATTGCAAGTTAGTCAAACAAAACAAAAACGAAGTAAAAATGTAAATAACATTTTTTGTTTTTGTACAACACAAATTATTGTTATTAATTGGATATTAATGTGAGCATTGCGTCATAATTGTTGAATAAAAACGCAATATCATTACGAACATCGCTCAAGCGTTTCGCATTTGTTTGTTATTCACTGGAATTTGTTGGCTATTGTATTTTTTTCAGTTTATTGTGAAAGTAGTCAAATTTACTGGCAATTGCAATAATACTTTGTGAATTGTATATTATTATATATAGCTGAGAATCGATGTAACAAAAAATGAGTAATTTAGGAAGAGATGTATGAAAAATATAAATTGTCTGTTTGTTTTTATTATACCCTACACCATACTGTATTTGTGCATTTGTTTGTAACATGCAGAAGGAAAAGAGTTGGACCCATTGTTCTTTTTGATGATCTGCATAGAATCAGATTCTGAGTCGATTTATGAATGTCCGTCCGTATATGTAAATAAAGTACAGGTCGCATTTATCATGATAAAATTTTGCAAAAAACATTTGTTTGGTCCAAGGACGAACCCTATTGAAATTGAAGATAATAGGTCAAAATTTAAGTATAGCTCCCATATATATATTCGCCCTATTTGCCTTTTATTGCGCACTAAATGTGACATATAAGTCCATATACGCAAATTGAGCTTAAAAACAAGCGTATCAAATTGGGTAGAAATCGGTTCAGATATAGTCATAGCTCCCATATATATTATTCTTCCGATTTGTTACATTTCTCCTCCACAGCCGTAATATGCACTCTGTAACAACGATACCCGGAGAAAAATATCAAATACATCTCAGAAATACTTTGGTCAAATTTTATCGAGATCGGTTCAGATTTGGATATAGCTTCCATATACAGGGACAGATAAAAAACTGCAACAAAGTCAAACGACATAATTTTTACATTTGTTTTTAATTTTATTAAATGAAAGCAAAAATGTCGGAAATAGCATTAAATTTTAAAATAAGTTTAGATTTGTTCGAATAGGTCACCTTTGGCACGAATTA